TGGCGGCGGGGCGTTGTGAATTGCATGAACTTTCTGGGGGTCGGCAGAGATAACTTTGTCAGAAAACACATAGCCAAAAAACGTGATCTCCTTTTTGTTTAAATCGCACTTTGCCTTGTTTAACGTCAACCCCATATCTTGGAATCGTTTGCATACCGCATGTAACGCGCGGTCGTGATCGGCTTGGGTGTTACCATAAATGATAACATCGTCGCTGATATTTACGGCACCCTCAATGTTCCGAATTTGTTCGTAAACGGCGTTCTGAAAAATTTCGCTTGCTGACGACGTTCCAAAGTTAAGATTTGCATATCTTCATAACCCTTTAAGAGTAGCGAAAGTAGTGATGTGACGTCTTTCTTCTGATAAAACCAGTTGGTGGTAACCAGAGCGAAGATCTAACTTGGAAAAAACTGTAGCACCATTTAACGCGTGTATAAGGTCGTCGATGGTAGGGCTAGGGTGGCGTTCCCGTTGAATCGCGCGGTTAGGCATTCTCATGTCCACGCATAAACGAACAGTTCCGTCGTTTTTTGGAATGACGACCAAGGGGATACCCAGGGGGTGCTTGTTTTTGTCACTTTTTCAATAATGTCTTGGTATTCCAAATCACGCAGAGTTTCCGACACTTTCTTCCGCAAATGAAATGGTATACGTCGAGCGGGCTGAGCCACCGGCGGAACGGTGCTATCGATATGCAGTTTGATTTCTCGGTCTTTGAGCTTTCCTATTCCATCAAATAGTTTCGGGTAATTGGCTTCCAAATTCTCGGTAGTGGCAGGGGTAGATTGTCCTGTTTTCACTGCATTTAGCCTAATCTGAATCAAATTTAAGTCAGCAGCCGTTGTGTAACTGAGCAAAGATCCAGAATTTCCCCGAACCACATGTAGGCAAACGGGCGCGATTCTGTCCTTTGTTTCGATCGTGGCATGAAATTTTCCCAAAACTGGAAGCTGTTGTTCAAAACCATATGCAAAAAGCTTTGTCGTTGAACGAGAAAGATAGATATTCTTAGCTGTCTTGACCTGATGAAATGTTGATTCATCCAAATTATCGATCGATGCTCCTGTATCCAAAATCATTTTCACGGGGGTGTTATTAATTTTTACACGGACTTGTGGCATCTTTATTTCGCGTTGATCATCGCACGTAAACAAATAACCTTCGTCGCTGCTAGACTCTGGAGTAGGCTCTTGTGTATGTTGAGGTGCTTTTCCATGTACATGATGTATTTTTCCTTTTTGATTTGCGAGTTTATGACCTATTTTCTTATGGTCTTGCGTAGGCGGGTCGTTAACGGCACGCAGTTCTTTCGCGCGGCTTTTACAGACTTTAGCAAAATGTCCAACACGCCCACATTTGCGACAACTTTGAGTCTTGGCGGGGCAAGGGGAAGTACGGTGAGGCCATGAAAAACCACAGTTGAAACAGGTTTGCAGCTGAGGCGTACGAACCAGCTGAGCAGTTTCCACTTGCATGAGACTTTCTTCTATATCTTTAGCTTGTGTATCGCTGGCTTCCAGAATACGTGCTTTTGATAACAACACGGCAAGTGTAAGCTTCTCTTCCCGCAAAGCAAGCCTTCTGAGTTGCTTAGACGAGCAGTTTTGTATAATCGCAGAGTTAATTTTCTTATCTAAATCTGTAAATTCACAATTTGTAGCAAGTTTGCGAAGTCGTGTAGCAAATTGATCAGTAGTTTCTCCAATCTTCTGTTTGGCTTGGCGAAATTGAAAAATTTCAAAGTCGACATTTTTCTGCGGTGTTGGCCTATGTAAATAGTCCGTCCTTACGTATTCTTATTTACTCGTGTTCTGTTATTCATTTATTCGGTTACAGTTCTCTAATAGTAAAGTCGCCAAGTAAGAAGTCTCTCTTTTCAGCAATCTTTAGGCAACATTACTGTAACCGAATTAACATGGATGCGTCGAAAAGCAGTATTTTGTGTTTCACAGGAAACGGCGATGTTCAAGCCTTTTTAACCAAGGTAGAAATACATGCCGCACTGAAAGGATACACAGGAGAAAAGCTGGCTCAAGCGTTGGCAAGTAAACTAAAAGGGCCAGCGTTCGATGTTTACCTACGACTTTCAGCAGATGATAGAAAGGATCCAGAAAAACTAAAAGCTGAACTGAAAAAGGAATTTGAGAAGGGAAAACGAAACCACGAAGAAGCACTGAGTGCATTGGCGAATAGGCCAAGAAAGGTAGGAGAATCTACGCAAAATTATGCATATAAATTGCTGGAATTAGTCAAATTGGCATACCCTTCATTTGATAACAAAACTTTGGAGGCTATTGCTAAAGACTATTTTGTTAAAGGGTTGCACCCAGATATACAAGTCGCTTTGAAATCCCTTGAAAAATTTGAAAAAGCGGAAATCAGAACCATCGCAGACGAAACAACGCGCTTAGATTTGGCAGGAATTTGTTCATTGTTATCTGATGCTTCAAGCAACAAAGGAATCTTTGGTGCAGTTGATTCAATCGCTGACAAGGTGATAGAGAAATTGCAGGGCATTTCAATAAGCCCTGACGACGGGGGATCACGCAACGAAGTTAATTTTGCTGATAGAAACCGCGGCCGCGGTTTTACGGCCCGTAATTTCAGAGCCCCAGGACGTGGCCGCTCAGTTTCTTCAAATAGGAAAATGGAACCACGCCAAATGCGATGCAGAACATGCCAAAGCACAGAACATTTGTTCCGAATATGTCCAACAAGATTTTGCCAAGCCTGTGGTGCGCGTGGCCATGATGCTTGGGATAAGAACTGCTCGAATTTCCAATGACTAGACGGCCCCGACATTTTGAATTTAGAGGACAATACCACTGGTTCGTCAACCGTCGTTTTAAAAGCCAAATTGGAAGGAGTTTTTAGCAACGTTTTGCTTGACTCAGGAACAGCTGTATCAATTATTGACTCGAAAACTCTTGAAAATTTGAAACTCGCAGTAAAGATAAATGCTTCAAGTGAAACACTTACAGATGCCTCAGGTAATAACATGAAAATAACCGGTTTTGTAACTCTAAACGTGAATATTTTTGGCCTAACGAAGCCAGTTCTACAGAAGTTCCAAATTGTCGATTCTCATTCGCCAGTCAGCATACTATTAGGCAGAGACTTTTTGCAGAAATTTGGTCAAGTGACATTTGATTTTGCAAATAACCGTGTAAGGCTTGGCCCAGCCTGGATAAAAACACCCATACGTGTTCGGGTAGCTGAAAAAACCACAATTCCTGGTCGTTCCGAAAAATTTATCCAGGTCAAATGTGATACCAAAACGGCATTTTAAGAAGGAGATTTTGACCCCGCAACAATAGCAGGAATGACGGGTATCTACGCATCAAGAACACGGGTGATTCCAAATTCTGCGGGTGGTTTCACGATCAGCCTGTTGAATGTTTCTGCTGAAGATATGATTTTAACTGCACGCAAACCAGTGGGAACATTACACGCTGCCGCAACGGGAAGTATCACACAAGGCCCAGTAAAAGATAATCCCTCGTTTGACTGCAGTACCCAACTTTCCGAAGAAGAAAAAACCACATTAATGTCCTTGATTTCTGACTACAAAGACATATTTGCGCAGAATCCAACAAAGCCTCAGAGGAACAAAATCATAGAGCATAAAATCATTACAGATGACTCAATGCCCATTTATCAAAAACCACGCCGTGTACCAACCGCATGGGAACCATAAATCAATTTCCAGATCACCGACATGCTGGACAATGACATAATAAGACCTTCTGAATCACCCTGAAATAGTCCTATCATTTTGGTTAAGAAAAAAGATAATACAACACGTTTTGTTTGCGATTTCCGAAAGTTAAATGATGTGACCAAAAAAGACACATACCCTTTGCCTCACATTAGGGACTTTATTGATAAAATGGCTGGCGTAGTTTACTGGACAACTCTTGATGCAGTATCAGCCTATTGGTCTATGCCGTTGAAAGAAGAAGACAAAGAAAAAAATTCTTTCTCTGTTCATCGAGGAAAGTTTGATTTCAACGTAACGCCGTACGGTTTATGTAATGCAGGAGCATTATATCAAAGATTAATGAACATTTGTCTCTCAGGGTTACCCGCCGAGCGAACGTTGGGGTACATCGATGATATTGCCATTTTTAGCAGAATTTTCGAAGAGCATTCAAAGGCCATTGAAGCAGTATTCAGCAGATTGCGTAACACAGGCATCACATTAAAGCAATCAAAAGGTGCATTTGCGAAAGAAAGCGTGGAATTTTTAGGATACGAATTGTCCATGGCTGGTATCAAACCACAGAAACGTCTCACCGATGCGATACGTGATTTTGAACGCCCAACAACCAGGAAAGACTTAAAGCGTTTCCTAGGACTTGCAGGATTCTATCGAAATTTCATAGAAGTATTTCAAGACTGGCGAAACCCAGAAATTAGCTCCTCGAAGAAATGGCCCCTGGACCATTTTAGAGAAGCTTGCAATGATTCGACAAAGAAAAAGCAAGTCGCTCATCATAATCGATTATACCCCGCCAAGATTATGGACACACCAGAGAATGCGCAACATAACGACAAACAACAAAATGAAGGCAACATTGTGGCCCAAGAGATTCGGGACAAAACCAATGATACTTTTATAGACGAGGATTTTAGTAGCTCAGACGAATCGGACACTAACGCAGACGACCGTGAAGATCTGGGAAAGGTACCCGATGAGAAATCGGAGACAGAGAACAATAGAAGGGAGCATTCCCTGGGACAGTATTAACGTTGTCGAACATTAAATCTTATAAAGGCGGGGAGGAATGTTGGACTAGTATATCCCCTGCCTATGTAAATAGTCCGTCCTTACGTATTCTTATTTACTCGTGTTCTGTTATTCATTTATTCGGTTACAGTTCTCTAATAGTAAAGTCGCCAAGTAAGAAGTCTCTCTTTTCAGCAATCTTTAGGCCACAGCGGGGCAAAGTAAGTGTCAAGTTTCGCCAACGCTGTCTTGTAATCTGTAGCTTCATCTTGCTCAACTGGGAGGGAATCGAAAACTTCTTGAGTGGCGGCACCTGCTTGGTACAATAGTAAGGCACGTTTCTGAGCATCATCAGTTATATTTACGGCAAGTAAATATGTTTCGAAGCGGCGTTTCCATTGCTGCCATCGTTGGTTTATGGACGTCGGGTCCGACACAGGGTCGAACGGTGGAAGCGGTAATAAATCTAATCGTGCTGCCGTGGCCATCTTAAATTCTGAAACTTAACAGAAATGGTATGTGCTTTCCCTCCACGTTATCTGCTTTTTGTTTTAATCCTCGTCGCCAAATGTTATGTTGTTAAAAAGGGCCTAATCGTGTGCTCACATATAATACGTTTTACTCCATGGCCTCGTGCTCTACAACTAACTCTAAGTACCGTTACGTCATAATATGTTAATTTATTCAAAACATTACAACCACTAGCCCTTTGGCGTCTCCTGTTGTCCTCGTTAAAAAAGAAAGGATGGGTCCTATAGATATTGCCTTAACTACCGAAAGCTAAACCTTGTCACCAAGCAAGATGCTCACCCCTTGCCTAGAGGAGATGACCTTCATGACCCTCTAAATAACAATAAGCTCTTTGGTACTCTTTATCTCCACAGTGGTTACTGACATGTAAGTATGACCTCAGAAGATAGAAAAAACAGCTTTTATTACCCCTGGTGGCCTATTTGAATTGCTTTTATGTCATATGGATGTTCAACAGCTCCAGCAACATTCGCTAGGGCCGTTAGCATTATATTATCAGGTTTAACCTATGATATATCAGGGCCTCCGACGAAGGAGGGGGGCGCGGGGGGGCAACGGCCCCCTCATTTTTTGGCAAAACAATAAAGCTTTTTTTAAAAACCTTTGTTATTTATGGATTTATAAATCTCTTGGAATTTTTCAGGGATTTATGAGATTTGAAGAGATTTATGGGATTCATAGATAGTAATGGAATATATAGGGAATTTCACAAATATATCTAGATTTATCAAGATTTTTGGGATTTATTAAGTTCTATGGAGACTTTTCGAAACTTTATTTACATTTTTTATATCATTTTACATTAAGTCTTTAGTTGGG